GTGTCACATCATAACTTCATAAAAGTGAGACCCAGAAACTCTACATTTATTTTATTTGCTTGGTTTATGTGAGAACTGGTACTTGGATACATTTTTAAGGGGGTTATGGTTCCAGGTGTAAGTATTTGGGGAGAGCGTCATACAGCACATAATTTATTCCAACCAGAGATGGTTGAAAAGTGGGAAAACAATTTATGAAAAATTTCAGAATGTTGACATTTGATTTCATTTTGCAGAATGATTTCATCCATTTTTTCTAAGTGTCCATGCCAGGGATCGGCAACCTTTGGCCCACGGCCCGCCAGGGTAAGCACCATGGCGGGCCAGGCCGGTTTGTTTACCTGCCGGGCCCGCAGGTTCGGCCGATTGCGGCTCCCACTGGCCGCGGTTCGCCGCTCCAGGCCAATGGGGGCTGCGGGAAGTGGCAGCCAGCACATCCCTCGGCCCATGCTGCTTCCCACAGCCCCCATTAGCCTGGAGCGGCAAACTGTGGTCAGTGGGAGCTGCGATCGGCTGAACCTGCGAACGCGGCAGGTAAACAAACTGGCCCAGCCCGCCAGGGGGCTTACCCTGGCGAACCGCATGCTAAAGGTTGCCGATCCCTGGTCCATGCCATGATATTTTTTTTGGCATTTTAAAATTGAAGTTGTTTTCAAAATATTTCATTTACTTAACAGTAAGAAAATGGTTTTTTAAATGAAAATTTTTAGTAAAAATGATTAAAAATATCAGAAAACTTCACAAAAAAGTGGAAAATGGTGGTAATGTCAACAAATGTTTTGTGAAAATATTTTTGATTTTGGAAAAAGACGATTTGCCAATGAAAAAATAATTATTGTGCCAAAAATTTCATCCAGGTCTAATCCCCACAGCAGTTTGGTTTTGGACTTCTAAAATATGTACTTTAAACTTCATGGGAATAATGCATGTAGATGTGGAAGTAGGAACACATTACTCATTCTCTGTCTCCATTACTCCATGTCTGCTGGTATTTGGGCTGCGAATCTAATCTGAAATTGCTCTCCGGCTTTTCTAAGTTTTTATTATTGCAAGCATTTCTATGGTTCCCACCACCATAGTATCTGAGCGATTTTTACATGTATTTCAAGTAAATCTAGAATGACCCATGAAGAAAGCAGAGCTTTCCTCCACTTTCCTCCTCGACCAGAGTCTCTTATGTGAAGTTGCCCAGGGGTCCACCTCCATTACGCCTCTCAACAACTTCCATCTTCTTTTTTGTAGCCTATAGGTATTTGCTAGGTAAGGCAGAGGTATAAATTAAGGCAGTAATGTAATGAGCCTACAAGGCCTGTAAGACAATAGGTTAGCTAAACAAGGCATAAGGCCCCAAAAGCCTTAGCATAAGCAATTAACCAGGAGTAACCCTAGGTCATATGATATCACAAAATAGAATGCTGTAATGATTAAACTGCTGACAGAAAACCACAAGATACCAGTTTATACCAGTTTGTGATATTTTAAGTAAGGACCATCAGTAGATGTCTGACCATAAGAGTTCCATGGTAACTAATTGACATATATGCTAAAAAGCTTGTGGTAAACAGATTAATAAGCTATGGGAAAAGGGCACCCCAACATTAGTATGGTGAGGATATACAAATTAGGAAAAGGGGAGAAACCCCTCCTGAATATGCATTAGGCACAGTGGCATCAGCAGAGCACTGGAACAGGAGGGGCCAAGGAACCATGGCCCTTCCACTTTTGAAAGTGAGGCCTCACCAGCCGGCGAGGCCAGAAGCTGTAGCCTGGCCCGGGGAGCCCGGGAGCTGTGGGGAGCCGTGCATGCTCCAATCTGCCCCGGGGGGGGGGGGGGGGGGGAAGGGGGAGGCAAGGGCACCCAGGGCAGATGGAGGGTCCGCGGGCTCCCCACAGCTACCTGGGCGGCTGTTATCATGACCCGCCTGCAGCTCTTCGGCCCCAGAAGCCAGAGCCGGGTCGGGGTAACAGCCATTTGGGTAGCTGTGGGGAGCCATGAACCCTCTATCTGCCCTGGGCAGGGGGTTCTGGGGGTCAGGGACACAGGCCAGGGGCTGCTCTCAGGCCTGGGCAGGTGGAGGGGTCCGGGCACCCCAGCCTGGCTCCGGCTTCCAGCTTGGCTGGTGGGCAGGGCCTCAGGGCAAGAGGAGGGGCAGGGCCCCCACGCCACTTTTAGGAAGAATCCAATGCCCCCGTCAGCATAACACATTATGAAAGTTGTATACTGGACTGTGTGCCTTGGGAGAGCTAACCCTTGGGAGGTGCCAGGATGACAACCACTGTGATGGTGACAAGGAAGAGGAGGTGGAGGAGGAAGATAATGACTAACACTTCAGGCTGTTCTGCAGGGGGTGGGGTGAGAATATGGATGCTCAGATGCACATTCTGTATTATCTCTAACAACCCTACTGCACTGGAGTGTTTATAACTTTGCTAACTATGTTAATAAAACAATTTCAAATGCGGAAGTTTTTTCCTAAGGATGAGAGTTGCAACCATGCATGTTGGCGGTTCCCAACTAAACTTTAATTTTAATAATACTGGGCCTGATCTTAGGACAAAAACCTACCAAACTTCAAAGTGCGAATTGGGAATTCTTAAGTAATCAATATAATGAATGTACACTCGGTATATCATGCAACATCTTTCTTAGCTAAATTGTCTTGGCATTTTGGCTCCGATTGTCGTGAGCATATTGTGCATGGCACCTTCCTGCCATGACAAGGCCAAAAGTAACATAGACAGCTGGCATGAGTTAGAGCAGCCCCATGGCTACTCAAACATACTCTAATACAATACAATACAAATTTGGCTCTCTGATATCATCCTGCTTTGATCAGCAGTGCATAAGCAAAGCAGAGTAAATGGACCGCCGACTTCATAAATGCCTAGTCCTATTCCTCACTCACTCCTCTGTATTTTCAGAGGCATTTCTCTTCCTTTCTATAAACTCTTCATAACTCATTTGTGCTGTCTCCTCTTTCTGTCTATGTCACTCTCTTTCTCTCCTTCTGACCTATATGACCGACTGTCTCTGTGTAATGCATTCGTGATAACATGACCAAGGATGAGCCATAGAAACTAATTGTACTGTGTTTTTAAAAAGAGGCTAAGATGTAATCTCATTATGTAGAGAGATTCAGGCACTGCTATATTTATAATTTTGCTTTTTCCATTAATAACAGTGTGTTTCATCTTACGTAAGCATGAACAATCCTTTTTTAATCAACTTCGCTGAGCTTCATCTTTGAGATGCATTGAGTGCGAGTTTATAAGGTCATGTTCAAGGGATTAAAGAAAGCACTGAGGTTTTGGAGCATTAAATTCCAGTTTTCTCACTATGTTGCCATTATTTCCACTGTGGTTTTAAAGAGGGTCTTTTTTAGTTTCTGGTTAAAGAAATAAAATCTTTGTCAATTCATTGTGTAATAATATGAGCTTTAGCTAAATGGAATAACTGTTTTGGAATACATGAATTCAGCTGAATGTTATCTTCAGACAGAATTTGGTGTAATTATTTAATGAATGGAAATGAAGTATTGCAGCACTGGAGGATTTGAATAAGTGTTGAAGGACACTGTGGATAAGACCCATGGCTTGGCTGCAGCTCAGGGTAATTCATATATTCAAATAATGAAATGGTGAATTTTCATTGCTTGTCTCGCTTTTCCTTCTTTCAGCTTTGCATCGTGATTGAACCAAAGAAATCTGTCTTCTGCCTCAAAGCAGAAACCTTGGTTGCTGAGGCAACATGTTGACTGGGGGGGACCCCAAAACGAAAGCAAAAAATCTTAAGGAAAGATGGCTCATTTCCAACTCTCTCTTTATTTTTTGATCTTCATAGAAAAGACACATACTGGCAAGAAAGCACTGCTGGTGGCTTTTTAATAAATAAATCTGTTATTTGCTGAGGGATTATGACTCATAACTTGAATGTTCAGCTGGTGAGAAATGCACACTAGTATTTCAAAATTTTAAAAATATGAAACACTGTATTAAAAATCTTTAGAGGTTTTAGAACCTTAGTAGGAAAAGTTCTTAAAGGCCCTAGTTGGAAAGCATCTGCTTAACCATGAACTGGTTGCTAGGTTTTAAAAGTATTTGTTGCTTGTAGCTAATACAGTTGTTCCAAAATGCACTCTGTTTCACTTAATGAACATGTCTTTAATGTTCAAGTAGTTGCATAAGATTTAGCCACACAGCTCCCACTGAATTGAATGGGAGTTCTGTATTTAAATCTAGTGCAACCCATTGAAAATGTGTCACAATTTAATTTGCACTCCAAACTTTTTTGTTACGAGGGGGAAAAAAACCTTGTGAGTTAACTTGTCAAAAGAAACCAGCACAGTTAAAAATGCTGAAACTTTCTTTAATTTTTTCCCATATAGACATTGGGCTAATGTAAATCCACATAAATTAATTGAAATATATGGACCTGTGATGAGTAATACTAATTGAGGCTCTGCCCATTTTGCCAAGGTATTAAACCTCTTTCAGTTTGGCATATTATATGGTATGTACTGTAATATCTAGATACAAGATTAGGATTGCTTGAAAGCTTGTGTCTTACACGAACAGAAGTTGGTCCAATAAAAGATATTATCTCACCTACCTTGTCTCTCTAATATCCTGGGACCAACATGGCTACAACATTAAATACAAAATGTCATCTTAAAAATTGCAACCCAGTATAATCCCATTGACTTCCACTAAGTTTTAATGTGGCTAAATTAGGGCAGAAAGTAATCCTAAGGATAGAGTTTCAATTAGCTTTGAATTCCCTTGTCTTTTAGTTCAGATTTGTGTGAAAATGTAGATGTGTGTGTGTGTATATATATATATATAATACAAATAAATGATAACATTATATACATATACATATAATTATTTGTATTATTGCAGCACCTAGGAGCCTTAGTCAGGAGCCAGAACCCCACTGTGCTAGGTGCTGTACAAACACAGGACAAAAGAATGGTTCCTGCTCCACAGAATTAAGTCACTATAATTAAGTCACTAGATGGGGAAACTGAGGCACAGAGAGATTAAGTGAGTTGCCCAAGGATACAAAGGAACTCTGGCAGATTTGGTAAGTAAACTAGATCTCCCAATTCAAATTTTGAGCTTTAACCACATGATCATCCTTCCTCTGATATAGTTGCAATTAAATATGTTTCACACAAATGGGCATTATTATACCAGTATCTCTTCATAAGGTTGTGACACACTGTTCTTCAAAGTAGCAGCCAGGAACCCCCATATTCACCACTGTCATATGATTATGATATGTTTTGTACAAAGTATACCTGGTGAGGCATCAGTTAAAAAGTCTCGATTTACTGAACATTAATATCCTATTGGATTATATGTACTATCATTCTATGTGAAGTTATGAAGTATTGCTATATGTGTTACCGAAATACATTGTGAGGTTGGGAAATGCCCAGAGCTGGCCTTTCAGTAGGGACAAAGGAGCAAGAATCACTGGCCAGAGAAGTATTAATGGCTCATCAACAAGCATCCACTCTCCGAGAGGCTCCCTGAAGAGGGCACATATGTAATGAAGACTGCCTGACCCCATGTCTGCAAGGATCTTTCTTTCTAGCAGCTGGAAGAAAGTATAAAAGAGAGACAGTGGCATCATCATTTGGCCTCTCTCTCACTCCATCTCAATACTTGGAAGATTGTCTGGAAGACAAAGACTTGGAACTAGGGAGATTGGTTCCAGACTGGAAGGGAGTCCAGTTTGTGTATTGGGGGACTGTAAGCTGTTATGGTGAGAGACTGATTCAAATCTTGCTTAGTCTATTAAAGTTAGAATTTAGACTGTGTTTCTATTTTTATTTCTTAGGTAACCAATTTTGATCTCTATGCCTGCTACTTATAATAATTTAAAATCTATCTTTCGGTAGTTAATAAATCTGTTTTATATTTTACCTAAAACAGTGTGTTTTTGGTTGAAGTGCTTGGGGAATCTCAGCTCAGATTAACAAAGACTGGTGCACTTCCACTACCCTATTGTCGGAGTGGTGAATTTATTAATGAGTTTACACTGTCCAAGGGAACCTTGAGCAGTGTGAGAAAGTATATTTCTGGGGTTCAAGGCTGGGATGTGGGGTGATTCGTGATTGGCTCAGGGAACATTCATGCAATTTAGCTGGGTGTGTGGCTCCACTCATTGATGGCTGACCGACCACAGTGCCTGGAGGTGGTTTGCTGCTTGTCACTGGCCTAACTTTGTGAGAGACAATCCCAGGCTAGAGAATTAAGGAGGTACAGTGGTCCCACAGTTCCAGGTTATACCCTGGGGATCTCTGTCACAAGGGTATGTCTACATGGGGATAAAAAATCCATAGGTGGCCCAAGCTCCGATATCCCAGTTTTTGAACTCAGGGCTGGGAGTCCCCAGACTGGGGCTGCATCCTGGCCTCCACACAGTATCTGCTGCAAGCTGTAGCCTCAACCAAAGGCATCACCCATGGGAACCCTGATTGGAGGATTGCCCTGCTCCACTAATTGATCTAAACATGCTATTTAAGCCAGAAGGATGCACAGCAAGTCTGTCTGAGCAACATGTTGATTTCCTGTTGTGGCTGCACTGGCTCCTGCTTGTGCCTGCCTCTGCGCCCAGCCCTGTTCCTGCTCTGCTCCTGCCTCACTCTGGCTTTTCTCCTCTTTCACTGTGTTCCAGCACCATGCTTGAGCCTTGCCTCTCCTCCAGTTCCTGTCCTTACACCTTGCCTCCAACCATCAGATACCAGTCTTGGTTCCAACCCCAGCTTCTGTCTTCTGACTCTGCCTTGACCCTTGTCTCTGGCATTTAGTAGCTTACTTTGGCTCTCACCCTCAGCTTTGATTCCTGGCTCTGACTCTGGCTTGATCTCTGACTCTGTTAATTGGCAGTTGACTCTGGTGCTGACCCTTAGCTTCATTCCCCAACCTGAACGCTTGCTCTGCCCACTAGACCAGACTCCTACTCTGACTACTCGGCAAGACCACCTACATCTAGGTCCATGACATGGGGCTGAACAATTGCTGTGTAAACATTTGGGCTTGTGCTGGTGCCTGAGTTCTGGGACCCCATGAGGGTAGAGGGGCCCAGAGCTCATGCTTCAGGCTGAGCCTGAACATCTATATAGCAATTTTTAGCCCCACAGCCTGAGACCGGTGAGCCTGAGTCAGCTGACCTGGGCCAGCCATGGCTGTGCCGTAGGGCTTTTATTCCCATGTAGATGTACCCTTAGACTCTTGCTAGCTTAAAATGGAAAGACTGTCAACTGAACTTACCACTTTAAAATGTGCATTTAGTAGTGCTAAGTAAAAAATTTTCTTTGTGAAAATACTTTTTCATCCAAAATGAAGAATTTTGCAAAAAACTTTTCTTCTGGTCAATAGCTTCCAGTTTTTTGATGAGAAAACATAACATTTTCACTTTTTTTCATTGTTTGGTTTAAAGAGAAATAAGGATACTTTGTGGCTGTCAAAAACTGAAAGATTCTGTGAAATTTTAAACAAAATTATTTTTTTTTGTTTGAATTTATTTGCAGAAAATGTAGAGCATTTTTACAGAGCTGGGTGAATAGCTGATTTTTCAGCTTCCTGGCACTTCTGAAAAATGCCCTCCCCCTCCTGTTTTCTGGTCAAACTGAAACTGAACTTTTTTGGGAATTTTTCTCAAATCAAAAGTCAAATTTTCCGCAAATCAAAAGTCAACAAAAGTCAGTTTCAGATCAAACAAAATGGATGGAGGAAGTGGTGCCACTGGTGTCCCCCTTATAACCTTTGCTCATCTGGGGTGAGAGGGACACTCACCTGGGGTGACAGGGCTTGAGTCACTGCCCTAGAACAGGCATTGGAAACCCCTCTCAGGTGAGTGCCCTCACCACGTGGTTATAGGATAGGCTGGGGTGAGGCTTTCTCAATCTCTCCTGTTGATGCTGTTCTACTTTGTATAAATAATCATTGGATCAGGAACTTGAATGTGGCTCACTGCTTCTGAGGTGAGTATTTAAGTATTTTATACAAAATGGAACCACTTTAACAGGAAAGACTAAAAGCCACCCACTTCAAAATACCCTGTGGTTAGGTTATTTGGGAAGGAAGGAGGAAGGCCAAGTTCATGTCCCTGCTCCAATGACTAGTTACTTAGCCAAAGTGGAACAACTTCAGTAGGAGAGACTGAGAGAGCCCCTACCCCCGCTTCAGAGTAGTCTATTGTTTGGTGGTTAGGGACATCACCTGGGAAGTACAAGAGCTGGGATCAAATCCCTGTTCCTGAGTGAGGGTTCCAACCTAGGTCTCCCCCACATAGCAGGTTAGCTAACCACTGGGCAGAGGGTTATAAGGGGTGCACCACAACTACATCCTCCTCTGGCTGTCTTGTGAATGGCAGCCCCTTGTGAATCTAGCCTGAAAAACCTGAAATTATTTGACAAATCCATGTCAAATTTACAAACAGTTTTGGGTCAGCTGAAATTGCATTTTTTAGTGAATAAACTATTAATCTGAAAAATTTTGCCCAGACCTACACTTTTTTCCAACTAGGTCTAGTTTTTAGATTTCCTATTGCATGAACCTCTTTCCTGCTCTACTTTTAGTTTATTATTTTACCCACAAATGATAATGTGTGTGTGTCGGGGGCTGAGGAGGGGGATTGCAGGTAAATATTTCAGGCTGGTGTTTTGAATGCCTTTGAAAACAGCTGCCTGGGAGCATAACCTATGGGAGGGAGGGAGCCTCAGGACCTGGACTTATGTTACTCCCTACAGGGCTCTGCAGAAGAAGAGCAATGGTTCATTGAAATACCTGAAGGATAAGGAGACTCTCAGGCTTGAAGTAACTGCCTCTGTTCCCACTCATCTGTGATGAGGCGAAGAAGATCAAACTAAGCAGTTGGATTCTCCCAAATGCTGCTAGGTGATTGGTGGGTCGGTGGCCCTTCAGTCCCTGTGTTCTGTGAGTTGCTTTAGTGACTATATGAAATTGTGACATTTCTGCACTGGAGCTAGGCAGGTGGACAGTTGAACCACTTGCCTGGTCCAGTATGGCAAGTAGTGACCAGTTTGTTAAAGGAGTTTTCATTACTTGCTCATCAGGAGTTTGGGGATGAATCTTCTCTCAAAGGTAATGAGCAGGAGCCATTGCACCATTCCTTGCACTTGGAGCTTTGCCTGCCCCACCTGACTGACTGTCTGTGACCTGTTCACCCATACTATCATTTCACCTATCACTTCCAGTGAGTGAGCTGAGGACCTGAATAAACAGCTGAAACTGAGTTTGGGGATGGGGGAACTGGAGGAATGGATGCAAGGAAGGCTGAGACAGGCCTGGTTTACACTACAGAGTTAGGTCAATGCAAGGCATCTTATGTTGACCTAACTCTGTAAGTGTCTACACTAAAATGTAGCTCCCACTGGTGTAGCTCGCCCACTACACTCAATTCATAACTCAACTGCCGCTAGACTAGCACTAAGTCGATATAGTTAGGTTGATGCAATGACAGTGTACACAATGCATTGCTTACATCGACTGTTGCTGCCTTTCAGAAACCGTCCCACAATGCCTCACAGTGGCAGTTAAATCAGCACAAGTGCTCCTGGTGAGGATGCACACAGCCAACACAGGAAGCGTAGTGTGGACGTGTAAAACTGATTCAATTATTGCTGTGACTGTATGTCAACATAACTTAGATTGACTTAATTTTGTAGTGTAGACTTGCCCACAGTGGAGAGCATAGGAAGGGATTGAACCTTGGTAGTGCCAAACACAAACCTTTACAAATCATGGGTCAGGCCCCACAAATCCAGAAACAAAAGTTCAGTGGAATGAAGTGTTTGGAGTGAAGAGAAAAGTCAAATGAGTTTGTACACTATAAAGGTGAGTATTTTGCCCAAAATGTATATTAACAACATGATAAGTTCAGAGCACAAAGTTTAATGGAAATTTTTTTTTGTCCATGCTGAGACATCAGCATGTGTTGCTGTGCTGAGTCAGAAACTGACAGAAGACTTTTGTCTGACCATTTTCTAATCCTAAGTAATGATGCCACAGAAGAGGTTTGGCTTTTGATTTGAAAAATGTTATAGCCTC